CCCCCGGCGGCCCTGCCACTGCAGTGCTCATGAGTGGACAGAAGGGGGCACCGTTGCCTAAGTCTGATGAAAGGGGCCAACGTGCCCGATCTGTCCCCGTCCCTGGGGCCAAGCTGCTCCACGGATGTCGCGGGGGTCTGGCCCTGAACGGCAACGGGAGCAGGGGCAGGGCCAGGCACCCCCCATTTATCGAGCTAAACGATGGGACGGCCCTGCCACTGCAGTGCTCATGAGTGGACAGAAGGGGGCACCGTTGCCTAAGTCTGATGAAAGGGGCCAACGTGCCCGATCTGTCCCCGTCCCTGGGGCCAAGCTGCTCCACGGATGTCGCGGGGGTCTGGCCCTGAACGGCAACGGGAGCAGGGGCAGGGCCAGGCACCCCCCATTTATCGAGCTAAACGATGGGACGAAGCTCCGGCAGGTTTCGTTTCATCCCCCCTGCACCCCAGCTCCTGTTCAGCCCCATCCCCAGCATGGGACAGATGCTAAGCTCAGCATTCTCCGGTTCGCTCAGCCAGCCCGTTACTCACCACCACGCCCTGCTGCCCGGGCATTCCCGGCACACCACGCTCGCCGAGGAGCCCTCGAGGGCCAGGGGGTCCTGGGTAACCTCTCACACCAGGGGACCCTGAGTCCCCAGTGGGGCCGGTAAAGCCCGGCTCGCCACGGACGCCTTGCTGCGATGCACAGAGAGAGCAGAGTCAGCCACAGGGTAATCTCAGGCCAGCCGGAGCCCGTCCTAAACGCCAGCGCTTCGTGGGGGAATCCAAACTGGGTAGCTAGCTAGGAGCGGACCCTCGGAGGCGTCTGGAGCCTGCTCTGAATGCGTTGGCGTGAGGTCTCGCTCGTGCATGGAAATATCGTCCCGCTCCCAGCAGAGAGCGCAACGCACAAGACCCGGGTCCAATTCTCGGGGGGGTGTCAAGCCATAAAGCTGCACAGAGCTCGGCAGGGCTTCCTCAGTGGGAGGTGCTTTAAAACAGCTGCTTTCGGGAAGCCAGGGGTGCCGGGTTATCGGTCTCCTGGCTCGGTGAAGCTACGGCTCCCAAGAGCTGCTGGGATCCCCGGCCCACACAAGAGACGCGGCCACGGGCGTGCTTCCCCCAAGCCGAGTTTCCCAACCCTGAGCCAAAGGGGCCAGCTTGGACTCAGACTCCATCTCCCCATACAGCCCTTGGCCTCTCTGCTGAGGCTTCCAACAGAGGGTCTATGGATAGCGATGGGGCTTCATGCAACACAGGCCTCTCTCCAGCAGGACCCAAACGCCCGCTCCCTATGGCTCTTTCAGCAGCACCGGCTGCTGACTTGGGAGGACCCTGGACTGGAATTGGTCACAAACCAAGGGGGACGCTTGACCCAGGGGACTGAAACAGGCTTGTGCCATGTTGAGTCCGTCCGGGCTCCTCATAATGGCCCAATGAGTCTCTCAGAGCAGTTGGAAAGAGAATAGTTCCCTCCTCACCCCCACCACTCCACACTGACTCCATCCAGTGATGGAATGAGTCCTGGAGAACTTTCCGGAGGGAAAACAAAGAGCAGGAGGTGGCGAGTTGTCACTGTCACCCTAAACTCACTGTCACTCACCTGACCCTTTGGTCCTGGCTCACCGGACTCCCCCTAGGAACAGAGGGGGAAAGGAAGGTGGTGGGTAAATACAGCAACGAGCCTTTGAATTACCGCTCAGCACCCTCCCTGGGAGACCACAGAGCCAAGGGAGTAAGGAACCTAAAAGAGTCCTTAAGTCCAGCTGCCTGCGCTGAGGTAAACCTGGACCTTCCCTGACAAGTGTTTGTCCAACCTGTTCATAAACACCTCCAGTAAGGGGGATTCCACCTCCCCCCTTAGGACCCTGTTCCAGAGCTTAGCTACCCTTAGAGTTAGAAAGGTTTTCCTACTAACTAGCCTACATCTCCCTTGCTGCCGATTCAGCCCATGACTTTCTGTCATAAGAGCGGCCAGACGGGATCAGACCAAAGGTCCATCTAGCCCAGTGTCCTGTCTGCTGACAGTGGTCAATGCCAGGTGCCCCAGAGGGAGGGAACACAACAGATAATCATCACGTGATCCCTCTCCTGTCACCCATTGCCAGCCTCTGACAAACAGACTCGGGACACCATCCCTGCCCATCCTGGCTAAAATAGCTATTGGTGGACCTCTATGAATCTTTCTAGCTCTTTTTTGAACCCTGTTAAAGTCCTGGTCTTCACCACATCCTCTGGCAAGGAGTTCCACAGGTGGACTGTGGGCTGCATGAAGAAAAACTTCCTTTTATTTGTTTTAAACCTGTTGCCTATTAATTTCATTTGGTGACTCCAAGTTCTTAGATTATGGGAACAAGTAAATAATTTTTCCTTATTCACTTTTTCCACACCAGTCACGATTTTATAGACATCTATCCTATCCCCTCCCCCCCAGTCTCCTCTTTTTTAAGCTGTTTGTTTCTCATTCTAACCCTCTTCTCCAAAGTGCTAGCTACCCCTCGCAGCTTGCTGTCACCTGCCGAGGTCATACGCCTTCTCTCCATGCCAGGAGCCAAATCATTACGTGAGGATATTGAATCGCACCAGGGCAGCACCAGAGTCAGTGCCTGCTCTAATTGTCGATGGATCCTCCGGATTTCAGGAGTGAGTGGTCATGCCCTAACGTGGCCAGGGGGCGTGGCCAGGTGTGCAGTGTCATGGCTCTGCAAGGTTGGTGCAGGGTAGTGGCATGACACATATGCCACTAAGAAGAAGGCTTGTGCAGAAAAGCCTCCTTACCTTCTCGCCTTTCTCCCCGGCAAGGCCTTCCACGCCAGGGTCTCCCTACGGGGAAGGAAACAAAGTCAGTAACTGTGATTCCACCCTCTCTACCTCCTGCCACCCCTGCCGGGAAGAACAACTTCAGTCATGCAGCCAGGACCATCTATCCACCTGAACCGAGTCTTTGGCTTGAAGCCTGCCATTCTGCATGTCCAGCCATTTGTGGATGCGCTAGGTCACGGAGGAAGGCGAGTGCCTGATCTGTGGATGCCGCCAAGTCACTGGAGAGCCAAAGGACCTACATGACGTTCGATCATTTGTTGTGGCCCCCCCACCCTGCAAAATGGGCAACAAACCAGAGGCCCGTGTTTAAAAGCCTGGCTCTGCATGAAGATTATAAAGGAAGAGGGTCTATTCCATGAATCCGTCTCAAGCCATGTTGTGATGGGTAACGCCTCAGGCAGGCGGGAGAAAGTCAATCACAACAGTGGTCAGGAGGGAAATGATCCAGCTCCGTGTGCAGCACTGAATAATCGGTCAGATGCATCTTCTGAAGCATCTAATCCAGGAGTGGAGAACCTAACACCCAGGGGCCAGATGCAGCTTCCGGCTTGCCTGGATCCGGCCCACGAGGCTCAGGGCTCTTCCCCCCAGCATTGGGGAGCCTGTACTGGTGCTCCAGCCCCCCTCTCCTGCTGCCTTCTCCTTTGGGGCTGGAGCGCACAAAATCTACTAGCCTGGACTCCCCAGGCTCTGGCGTGTGAGGGGAATGTGGGAAGTGTCTTTCTTCTCAATCAGGGGCCACATCAATGAGGAATTGGGGGCTTTTTTTCTATTGGTTTCTCACTTGTGTGAATCCCCCAACTGACCTGTCTGTGGGTCAGGGGCCCCCGACCCAAAAAAGGTTCCCTACCCCGATCTAGTCCCAGCCACTGCGGGGAGGAGAACTCCAGAAGTTGATGTCCTAACGCCAATATGGCCAGTCCCAAATCTCTGTGCCCTTCCTTTTCCTGACCAAGACTTTAGAGTAATTGACAGAAACACAGGGCATGCTGGGTACACGAGGTGGGATGCGGGTTCATTTCTCCTTGGCGGCCAGAAATGCCAAGTGCATCCTATCAACTGGGGAGGCGCTTTGTTTTGCTGCTGAGTCTGCATGTAGGAAAAGCTCCCGGGAACCCAGCAGGACACACGGCTCAGAGCTACCCCTCCAGGGTTTTCCTCCCCACTTGGGATTTGACGCACAATGATGGCGACATGGATCCAAGTCACCAGACCATGGATCACACAAAATCCTTTAAAAAAATGAACTCGCCACCTGGGAAACACAGCGGCCAGTATTTCTGCACCCCGCCCCCAACCAGGTCAGCTTCCCAGAGCAGTAAGAAGGGCAATTACTTACAATGTCCCCTTTGGCTCCAATTTTCCCTGGGGAGCCCTAGACAAGAGAGCAGAGAACAATCAGGAGTTGGGTCACCATGTCTGTGTCTTAGCACAGGAAGACGGGAGGAGCGACGCTGCTGGTGCTTTCGCATCCAAGGCAGATTGACGGGGTCGTACAGTGAGCAGGGGCAGAAAGATCCCTTGACAACTTTCTAACCAGGACTTTGGGCAACCGCGGTAACAGCCGCGCTAAAATCTCCCTCCCGGGTCACGCTGGACCTAATGCATCAGTAGAGACAAGCTCTCTCAGACCACCGAGGCCCTAGCGCTTTGCCCCCTGCCTTTGCCACCTCTTCGGCACGTAGCATTGGATCCCCTGGTGACACAACATGCAGGGCAGCCCCGGGCTGCTGGAAAACCACCCTCGGCCGCAGGCTTGCCCCAAGAAAATTCTCCCCCCCCCACCCGGTTTGAGAGGAAGAGGCTGCTGGTGGTGCTAGCCCTAAGTTAGGGTCAGATCCCACGGCAGGTTCCGCAGTTTGTGTTAGAAAAGCCTTAAACATTAGTCAAGTCTCAGTCCTGCCAAATGTTATCTCATCAACTGCAGCCCCACTGTCCTCTGTCAACCCGACCACTGCACCCCCATTGTCCTCTGTCAGCCCGACCACTGCACCCCCACTGTTCTGTCAACCCAACCACTGCACCCCCACTGTTCTCTATCCAACCACTGCATCAAACTGTTCTCGATCCATCCACTGAACCACTGTGCCCACACTATTATTTACCTGTCCATCCATCAAATGTATCCACTCTTATCTATCCACCCAACTGCTGTATCCACTGTTATCAACTCATCCATCCATGTATTGGATATGCTGTTAATCTATCCATCCATTCGCTGTATCCATCATTGTCTATCTCTCCGTCCATCATTTCCAGTCATTTGTCCCTCAAACATAGCTCCTCTGTTCAGCTATCATATTCACAGTACCCATCCATGTATCCACTGTTCCCATCAACACATCTATCGCTGGCCTCCACCCCTCAGCCTGGCCACTGCACCTACAGGGTTCTCCAGTCCCCATCACTTGCAACAATTTGGAAAGCAACAGATTAAATCCCTAGTGGACCTCATGGCTCTCATCTCCCTTTGAAACGTCACTCTTAGCTTCAGCCCTCAATGCCGTCTTGCCCGCGGTGAGGAATTCCATGATGTTACCTTGTCTCCTTTGACACCGGGCAGGCCCTGTGGCCCGGGGATCCCTGGAGGACCTTGCTCGCCTTTCGAGCCCTGCAGATCAAGAAAAGGAAATGAGAAGGAAAGAAAAGACGTACAGGTGAAACCAAGAGCTGGAAAGACCCAGACCTTCAGCAGGGGGCCTGGTCTGAGGATTGGAGCTGAGCCAGGTGTCGTGTGCGGCTCTTCGTTTGAATCGGGTGCAGCTATGTTGAGGGATCCAGCCAGGCAGACAGTGAATGAATGAACGCCTTCTGGACTGCCAAGCCAGTGAAGCCATAGCCCCGGCTTTCCCCCGGTGCTGGTGGGAGTAGAACCTTACGGGAACCGGCCTCCATTGAACATAGCTCCATGTGCAGCATTGTCCGGGGGCATCTAATCCACCCCTCTGTGCGTGTCCACCCCCTAATGGCCACTGAAAGGAGGAGGCCAGGGTCCATGTATCCTTTGCATCCTGCCTGCCAAGATGGAGAAGATCCTTCTGCTACTGCCTTAGAGGCACCCACACTCCGGCCGGCTGAGTATTCACAGCACAATCCTGGGGCTTCCCGGATCAAGCAAGATGATGAAGCCCAGATCTCACAGATACTGAGTGCCTAACTCCCATTTCCCGGCCGCAGCTCTTAGCAGCTGCAGGATAATGCAGTTTTCCGTCAATTATTTAACCGCCTTGGCCCCATTAAAATGGGGTTCCTTATCTGACTCCTTCAAGAAGGCGAGGGGGGTTTTCTTTCCGCCCCGTGTGTCTTTGAATGGGAAAGAAGGCGAGAGGGGTTTTCTTTCCGCCCCGTGTGTCTTTGAATGGGATGGTCTCCCCAGCTCTCCCAAAATAACCTTTCCTGACAGTCTCTGCAAAACCTGCAGGGCAATGAGCCGCAATGGAGTTTGTCGGCCAGGAGGGGGCGCTCTTGCTCCCCAAAAAAGTGGGAGGGGTTGCCTTAGACTGAGCCTGCCCTAGCGCAGAAAAACACACTCCCTGCTGTGTGTCCTGCTCTGAATAGGGGAGCGGCCCTGCTCTGGCTGAAAACACACTGCCGGTTCCTGGGGGCCATTCATCCCTGAGCAATTCTCTCCTACTGCCTAATCCCTTCACCCCGTCTGGCCTCTCGCAGCATGGGCCGGGCTGGCTCAGTCGCCCTTCACGCTGAACTCGGAGGCGCGGGGTTGTTTGATGAATGCCTCCATCCCTGTTGGTGCGCACGCTGGCTCTTTCCAAAATGCACCCTGGTTTGCAATGCACCTTCCTGTGCATGGGCCTCGGATTGCTGCCCTCTAGCCCAGTTCCGGGGGCAGCTCCGTGGACGTACAAGCGTAGGTAACCGCAAGGCGCAGCCCCCTGCCCGGAGCCGCCGGATGTCTTCTTGCCTCCATTTCAGCGCAGAGGGCACAAAATACCATCCACGCCGTGCAGCTCTGACTTAGCACTTCTTATCAGTCGATCGCAAAACACATCGTGTAGATCAGCACCTGCATCCGCCCCATGTCACAGATGGGGAAACCGAGGCCCCGAGCGGGGGCGTGACTTGCTGAGGTCACCCAGCAGGCCATGAGTGGAACCCAGAGCTCCTGAGTACAGCCTAGTGCGCTATCCACTAGGCCGCACGGCCAAGGGATACGAGAGCCTGGGGGCTGGGTGTGGGTAGATGATGAGAGGAGATATGGGATTAACCCCTTCCTGCTAATGCCTTGCCCCCAAAGGCCTGGCCCTTCCATGCTGCAGCATCTCATTAATGCAGCATCCGGGACCGCATCCACCTTGTGCTCCTACCTGCAATATGGAGTACCTGTGCCGGGCCGGGTCAAGCGGGACGTGGCTGGCACGGAGGGCACTGGGAATGTGCCCGACTTGCAGGGCATGGCCCCATCCCAGATGGGCCAAGGCCACGCTGGGGATTTCTTCTCCCGCCGAGCAATTCCCGTAAAACCTCTGCAGCTTGCAAAGCTTCGGGAGACGGTGGAGTGCCCGGCCCAGCCTGGGTCCCGCAAACCAAGCGCATTCTTCTCCTCTGACCCAGGATCCAGACAGCGGCTTTGCTGCCCACTGGCTTCGCTGGCTCTTCTGCAGGTACATCAGCCTCACGGGCCGGGGTCACAAATCTCCCTCCCCCGGTGACCTTAGCGAAGCTGGCTCGGGAGAGCCGAGGTGCCCGCTTGGCCCTTGGCCCTACTGCGACCCTCCTCTTGCCTCAGTCCCCGGGGCAGAGCCAAGCACCTCAGGTTCTGGACCCTAGGTGGCTGCTGGGGGGCAGATGCCCAGGCCAGGGAGGAGGAAAGGGTCAGGGGCTAGAAATGCAAATCACACTCACCACTTTCCCCTGCAGGCCCTGGGGACCCACCGGGCCCCGCTCTCCGCGATCGCCCTGCAGAGAGGAAAGAAAACAGGACAGATTGGCATAGCTGGGGCAGGCTGGGGCCCTCTGTACCACCTGGCTAAGCCTTCGCCACCTTTTCACCCTCGCCAGCCACGCTTTGCACACAGCCCGCCGCTGGCTGCACCCCTGCTGCCCACAGCACTCTCCTTAATACCCCAAGGGTGCAGGGATGCCCCCTGGGGGTCACTGCAACTTGCCTTCTCCTTCCCCAGGCCTGGCTGCTTGGGGAAGGGCTGCAGCAGAGGCCGCTTGGGAGGCGGAGATGGGGGGAGCTTGCGGGGGCAGACTGGGTTGCACACCTGCCGCACCGAGCTATCGCCCTTTCCCCATTCCGGTCCCACGTCCCGCCCCCACCCCCGCTCCGAGGCTGGGATTCCCCAAGGAGGCGTGGCTTCCACACTCTCCCAAAGCAACTTGCAAACATCAGCAGATTGAAGCCTCGTTGAGCCCATGTGACAGGGACACCAGTGAGACCCATTTTACAGACCTGGAAACTGAGGCACGGAGCTGGGCCTGGGTCACACAGTGAGCCAGGACCAAACGCTTCCAAGGCGTTCATCTAAACGCCGTCCCACCGACATCGAGGAAAAGAACCTGAGAATCCTTGTTGAATTACTACTCCTTGACGCAACACCACACTCTCTCCCAGGGTCTGGTAAGAACGTAGCAACTCCAGCCCCCAGATTCCCCCTTCCGTCTCCCCATGGGACATCCCCGCTGGGCTTCCTGACTTACCTTCAGCCCGGGGACACCTTGTGGCCCTGGCTCACCCGGCGATCCAAGTTCACCCTAAGAAAAGAATCCAGAGCAGGGTTTGTCTATTAGTAGACCTGCACTGCCTCTTTCCACTGTGCCAGCAACTGCCTGACATTTCTCAATACTCATATGCAATAATTTGCCCGTGGGTACTTTCCCAGGCAAATCGCATGGGGAGGGGCACCCTGTGATTTCCCCAGGCCCCTCCTTGCCAGCTGCAACTGCTGTTTGCAGCAAAGGCAAACCTCTAATTCACATGATTTAAGTCAGGGCAGCGGAGAATGCTAACCTGGGCCTAGGACCAGTCCATAGGGGAGTCATCAGTCCATAGGAAGTCTAGGTTGGATATTAGGAAAAACGATTTCCCTAGGAGGGTGGGGAAGCACTGGGAGGGGTTCCCTAGGGAGGGGGTGGAATCTCCATTCCTAGAGGTTTTTAAGTCCCAGCTTGACAAAGCCCTGTTTGGGTTGATTGAGTTGGGGTTGGGCCTGCCTTGGGCAGGGGGCTGGACTCGATGACTCCTGAGGTCTCTTTCAGCTCTAGGATTCTAGGATTCTGGGTCAGAATATGGCACTGGGGCTGGTCAGGAGTTGGGGGAGGAGGGCTCCGGCTAACAGAGAACGTGGCACCAGACCCAGATCTGAAATTCTTTGCATAAGCTGGTGTAGGATTTTAACTAGCCGCTGTACATGCTGGCTCAGTCATGGCTTTCTTTAGGCCCTGGGGTTTGGTGAGGCTGCCAAAGCCACACCCAGAGCTCCAGACCCTTTGCAATGAGTGAAAAGGGGGCTCCTCCAATTCTGTTGTCTACTTGATAGAGAAAAAGACAAAACAGAAAAAGAAAAAGCCAGACGAGAGCACCCTGGTGTGCGGATGGGACGGGAACCAGCGAGTCACAGGAGTAAACTGACGGAGTCTCTACTTACAATTTTCCCCGGGGCTCCGGTGAGTCCTGGCAGGCCACGGGCCCCTGGTTCACCCTGCCAATGACGCAGAGACAAGATTTATTGTGTTTAATACTCTATGGACTTGTTCCTGGCAAGAAACCCCAGTTGTGGGCCAGGGCCCTGCTGTGCGAGGCGCTGCCAGCCACGGAACAGAAGAGTTTGCAATCTAAGCATCGGGTAAGTGGCAGACAGACAAAGAGGGGACCACGGAGATGAGACCGCCATGGCTGGCTGTGCCGGTGGCTTAATCGTTGCCACGGTTTTGTTTTTCCGTTAAAAGTTTTTCCGTTAAAAGCATTGGCGGAAAAGAGCGTCTAGATTGGCACGGATGCGTTTCCGCCAAAGCACTTTTTGCGGAAAAGCGTCCGTGGCCAGTCTAGATGCGGTTTTGCGCGAGAAAGCCCCGATCGCCATTTTTGCCATCGGGGCTTTTTTGCGCAAAACAGTTTTTAGCTGTCTGCACTGGCCCTGTTGCGCAAAAACATTTCCGGAAAAGGGCTTCTGCCCAAACGGGAACGTCAAAGCATTTGCGCAAGAAGCACTGATTTCGGACAGTAGAACGTCAGTGCTTTTGCGCAAAATCAAGCAGCCAGTGTAGGCAGCTGGCAAGTTTTTGCACAAAAGCAACTGCTTTTGTGGAAAAACTTGCCAGTCTAGACGCAGCCAAGTAGTTTACAGGTGAGATGCTGGAGAAGGGGGACCTAAGGGAGGGGCGACAGGGTCCAAGCGATGCGCTAGGCCAGTGTTTCTCAACCTTTTTTTTATAAAGTACCCCTTCCCCCCCCCCAAAAAAAATGATAAGTACCCCCAGTACCTACAGTTTTCAGACACACCATTTTTTTTCTACCATTTGCAACCCATTTGTTTAAACAACTTAATCGTAGCCAGGCGGGCGATGAAATTTTTGGGTGTAAAAAGTACCAAAATAATAAAGCGCTGCGAAACGTAAAACCAAAATTCAGTTTTCTCCAAATTGCAATGGTGTTGATCTGCCCCCCCAGACTTCTCTTGAGCGCCCCCACAGTACTCGTACCACTGGTAGAGAAGCACTGCGCTAGGACATGCTATGTGCAGCGACATTGTATTGATGTTTACTGGTCGCTTTGTTCTGGGGTGCAGAAAGCAAGCCCCTTGCCACCCCGGGGGACACCCGGACGTCACTTGCGGGGGCCAGGCAGAGGGGCAGATCATCTGAAGAGGAGCTAACGGTACCAGGACGCTGCATCGAGGCTCTTCTCACCCACCTTGACGCCTGGGCCGCCTTTGGCCCCAGGTTGGCCGGGCAAACCCTGCGGAAACAAAACCAGGTTAGCAGCTGCCTGGTTGTGACCCGACGGAACGTGCCTTTTGGAGCAGCAGTTCCCGAGACAAATTCCCCGCAGTTCTGAAATCCCCCTGGAAGGAAAGGGAGTGTCCGGTGACAGGACCTCAGTGCTGCTCAAGGGAATTCTCCTTGCAGGGTAGAATCAGGGACTTACAGCCTCTGGGAATCGCAGACTCAGAAAGGCAGGGCTCCAAAGGTCAGGGAGTCCAGCCCCTGGCACTGAGGCAGGATAAAGAATTGGATTATCATATAGGCTATGTCTATACTGCACTGCTCTTCTGGAAAAAGCTACGCAAATTGTGAAGCACAATTTGCGTAACTTTTTCCGCTTCTTTTTTCGGAAGAGGCTTTTCCGACATTTGGCCTGTCTACACAGGGACAAATGTCGGAAAAAATCCTTTTCGGAACATCGCAAAATGAGGTTTACAGGGATGCTGAAATTGGAAGAGCAGACATGTTCCCTGGATGCAGCAGAGTTTTTCCAGGATATCTCCGGGATGCCTCCCGAGATTTTCCGGGATACTCGGTAGTGTAAACATAACCATAGAGAGCACAGGGTGCAGAAGCCAAAAGGGGGCAAAAGATGTGAGAAGCCAAACACAGAGGTGGGCAAATCTCAAAAGGCTTGGGTGGAGTAAGATTAAAAGCCCAGACATTTTTCTAAACCTCTCCAGCTGAAATCTCTGGAGACCAACCTTCCTGGACAATGAATCCAGCCTTGGACAAGCACCCCAGAGACCAACAAAACCCAGGTGGCCTTCTGATACAGGTGGAGCCACAAGAAAGGTTTTCCTCTCACAACCTCTCACCACTTCTGCTTCCAGTCACCATCTGGAAGTACTCAAGCAGTTGCAAAATGAGAACAACAAAAGTGAAATTGAACTTTGTTGGACTTCAAGAAATATTTTTGGTTTCCACCAATCTACCCCAATTCAAGGCCAAATTTTGAGCTAGTCTCAGTCTAGGTCTTGATTCTCCTCTGGCAGATGTAAATCAGAAGTAACTCCACCAATTGGCACACAGAGAGGGGACCCTGTGCCCAGCCTGGGGGCAGCAGTGCAGGGGCTGAGTCTGCGAACCCACAGGGGTCAGAGCATGCTGATCTGACGTACACGAGGGTTGTGCGGACTTTGGCGGAAGTTGTTTCAGTTTGCACAGGGAGTTGAGTGGCCGCAGAATCAGGATCCAAGTGCACCGAGGTCCGAGGAAGGTGAAGCAGAACTCTCAGGGCACGGAAAGAAGTGGGAATTGAACTATCCACAATGCCAAGATGGAGGAGCCGGGGGCCGTAGGGGAGCGCCGCTGGACTATGGGAAAGATCCGATCTGGGTCCAAAATTGGCATCACAGGTGGATTTGCAGTGAGAAGAGATTCCAGAGTAGCCATTTCACCACCGGTCCTCCCGTTCTGCTGCATCCTCTACAGCACTAACGCACAGGGACACGGACTTCCCAGCGTGCCAAGCGTGTTGGGCCGCAGGAACGCAATGAAGGTGCCAGCACCAGGGGACATGAGATAACCTGTCTGGTTAGGGACGGCACTTCTGCTCCGATACTTACAGCTAATCCTCGGTGGCCTGGTGACCCGGGACGGCCGGACTGCCCTGCGCTCCCCTGCAAGGGACATGGCAAGTCGTTACCGGGTGGCAGCCGAGAAGAGAGCATAAGGAGGGAGCGGGAGCGGGTGGAGCTCAGCACACGTGGGTTGATTTGGGGGGTGACCCTGAGAGCATGAGGGGAGAGCTCCCCCGGATGGGAGAGTTTGCCTGATAAAGGCGGAGGAGCATGCCATGTCCGTTCCATTGGCGTGCCCAGGCAGCCCCTCACTTCAAATGGCCCCACAGAGGAGGCAGCCCCAGAAAACACCGGGTCCTTATAAACGTGGTGTGGTCTGCAACCATCTTGCACGTAGGCCGCCGGCTTGGGGCTCCCCTCCTCCCCCCCCCATGAGGTGGGAACCCCAGCACCAGCACCAGCACTGCAGGGGAGGAACCCCGAGTCTCATGGCTGGATCCAGCTTGCAGGAGGAGGAAGCAGATCCATGTGCTGCCACAGGAAACCGCTCGCCTGGAGGCTTTCCCTGCTGATCCCATTGGCTGGAATCCCAGCCAATGGGAGCAGTGGGGGGGCAGAGCCAGGTAAGTGCTTCCTATCCCCCCATGCTCAGACCCCCACCCCATCCCATGCCTGTACCCTCCCTCCTGCCCAGAGCTCACACTCCTAACCTCTCCTGTAAACATTTTGCCATCATGGCTGGTGGTTCAGTACTGGTTTGCTGAAAGGTTTGCGTCGAGTGGCGTAGCCCGTGAGCCAAAAAGTTTGAGAACCACTATAGTAAAGGAACCTCTGCCTCTTCTGGCAACTTCCCTTGTAGCCTCATCTCCACCTTCTTCAGACTTCTCTACAGGGCCCAGGGTACAGAAGCAAAATGCAGGACAATGTAGCACTTTAAAGACTAACAAGATGGTTTATTAGATGATGAGCTTTCGTGGCCCTGCTCCCTCCCTCCTGCCCAGAGCTCACACTCCCATGCCACTCCTGCCCCCTCCCTCCCTGCTGCCCACCCAGACCCCTCACCCCCAGCCCTGCTCCCTCCCTCCTGCCCAGAGCTCACACTCCCATGCCACTCCTGCCCCCTCCCTCCCTGCTGCCCACCCAGACCCCTCACCCCCAGCCCTGCTCCCTCCCTCCTGCCCAGAGCTCACACTCCCATGCCACTCCTGCCCCCTCCCTCCCTGCTGCCCACCCAGACCCCTCACCCCCAGCCCTGCTCCCTCCCTCCTGCCCAGAGCTCACACTCCCATGCCACTCCTGCCCCCTCCCTCCCTGCTGCCCACCCAGACCCCTCACCCCCAGCCCTGCTCCCTCCCTCCTGCCCAGAGCTCACACTCCCATGCCACTCCTGCCCCCTCCCTCCCTGCTGCCCACCCAGACCCCTCACCCCCAGCCCTGCTCCCTCCCTCCTGCCCAGAGCTCACACTCCCATGCCACTCCTGCCCCCTCCCTCCCTGCCCACTCCACCCGCAGTCACCCCAGTCAGAGGTCCCCTGGGAACCAGCCATGTGCAGCATCAGCATCCTTGCAATGATGGGAAACCCCTTGGCAGCCGCCGAGGCCAAAGATGCTGCCCCCTGTCTGCAGCCAGGAGTAGTGGTGGTCTGCAGCAAGCACTCGACTGGCATGTGGGGCGGGTGCGTTCCCTTCGCCAGGGCAGGCTGAACGAAAGAAACTCGGGATTCTGGGGGCTTCCTGATTCCAGCCATGGAGAATCTAATGCAGGAGGCGCATAGGATCGGAATCCGCTGTCCCATCTGGACCAGGAGACCCTGGGAAGTATGGAGACACGCCTGGAGACTTCCGGGTCCTACCCAACCTCTCTCCTATCTCCGCGACCGCCCAGCTCCCAGGCTCTCACCTTCACGCCGGGGGTGCCGGGGGTGCCGTCTTTACCATCGATGCCCGGGGCTCCCTGCAAAGGAGGAACAAGCGCCATGAGGAAGTTGCCAGAAGAGGAGGAACATGTGAGGCCTAATCTGCTTCGAAGCCAAAACATCCTGAGCCTGCCAGGGGAGAAGCCCAGCGGCATTCGGATTGGGGATCTTGTGCCCAGCCTGGGGCAGCTTCACAAGGGCTGTCACGCTTCGCTGCAGGCCTGGCCTCACCCCTTCTCTGCCCCCATCATCCTACAGGCCCCCGGAGCTGTCCTCCCCTCCCAGGGAGCGGGAGGGGACAGCCCCACATACAGGATGCCAAGTGTCTGCGGGGTGGAGCAGAGGGGCAGGCAGGGAGCAGGGGGACCCCAAACCCCTCAGGTCTGACTGAGGAGCTTCCCCCCGAATCCAGAGCCGCTGATGCAGCCGTCTCCACAAGGCCCTTGTCCGGCGTGGAGCGGAGGACAAACGCCGGGGCTTCTGGGAGCGAGCTGGGTGCGTCTTTGCCCAGCAGCTGGAGGGATGCGTGCGGACGAGAGGATAATAAGACACCCCTTCCTCTAGATACATCCCCATCCTGGAGCCCACAACCCGGCTCCCTCCCCTACCCCGCCCCAGCAGGTGCTGTTGCTAAGGCTCTGGGCCTGAACGCAGAGAGATGCCGTACTTACATTGTCTCCTTTAGGGCCCATGGCTCCCTGGGGACCTCGGAAGCCGCGAGCACCCTAAAGAAACAAACGAGAACAAACATCATTTTACTGCCCCTCGTGGCTCGGGGCACCTGGGGGCCTCTGCCCCATCGCTGGGGAGCCGGTTGTGGGTTCTGTGGCACAGTCTTTGGGGGGAGCGTTGACCTGTGCAGGATCAAGAGGTGTTACAGTACAGGAAGGTTCCCAGGGGTGAGACATGAGGGGAGATCGGATCGGAGCTGGGGTTAGATGGGCAAAGATTCCCCCAACCCTTCCCCACCCACCTTGGCAGCCAGGCGCCCCCAGGACTACAAGAATAGGCAACTGAGCAGCGGCAGTTCATGACAGTCCCTTGCTACCTGCATAGGCAGGGCTTGGGGCGGGGGTGAAGGGACTTGGGCTATGTAGAGTCATTTAAGAGGCACTCATCTTTATTTTGATTCCTCTGTTGCTCCCCGGGGTCCTCTAATCCCCTAATCCTGTTTGCATGGAATCAGCGTTGCTGGCATGTCTGATTACAAGGTGGCCGGGGCAAAGACCTCCAATCAGGTGGCGGGAATGGGCGGGTGGGGGCAGAACAGAGCCCCCGCCGTTTGCAGACGTCTCAGGCCTGTGTCTAGCCCAGGCGGCTGTCGGGGTGTTAGAAGGGGCCGGAGGGTTCCGAGTCGGTACAGCCTCGCCATTCCAGGAAAGCACCCTGCCGTTTCTGGAAAGCCATCAACTCGCTGACAACTTTCCTGTCCGGGAACCAAGTCTGGCCACCGAGTCACCTGTTGCCTGCGCCCAGGAGAGCCGGGCTGCGTTCGGTACATTAACTGACCCTCCACCCAGCAAATCCAGAACCAGGACTTCGGTTACTTGGCTTGTGAATTGAGCTGGGCTTAGTCCTTACTGGATGTTTCTCTCTTACGTGAAATGATCCATCGCTCTGCCCTAGGGAGGCGCTGGCTGGACACAGCAGAGGAGGCTGCAGCTCAGGGTTGGGGGGTGCACTGAGGGAGCCCCAGATTGTGATAGCAAAGGGGGCGACGGGTTTGGACGGAGAATTGGTAGAGCCAGGTGTGCGGACGGAAGCCCACCTGCCCAGAGGTGAAGCATGAAACGCGCTGGGTTTCACGCATCTCGGCAGGAATGTGACTGGGCATGATGCAGAGCCTCTGAACCCCAGCTGGGTACAGCGCTCACACCTGCGCAGGGGTAAAACATACTGGAGGGCAGGGAAACAGCACAGGCCCTAAACGGCTCCCTTCTCGGATGATCCCTTCCACAGGTCAATGAAATCGTTCACTTACCATGTCTCCCTTCTCCCCGGCTCCACCAGGTGGCCCCTTGGGGCCTTCTTCTCCCTAGGACAGAAGGGAAATAAGGCAGAGGCTCAACAGAACGGTTCCATGCCATAGGCCTTCCCTGCCTCCCAGGCCAGCATGGAGGGTGGAAGAGGCTGGGGGAACAGGACAGATCTGAAGGAAATCCAAGAACCACACCCACAGAATGGCAGGTTAGCAAGAGCAAGGGTTTCTCTTTACTAACAACACCGAAGCACTTTTCACCACGTGATGAAACACCCACGGTCTTTGCCTTCGTTTTACAGAGGGGGAAACTGAGGCTCGGAGCAGCGAAGCCAAGATCACCCCGAGGCAAGAAGAAAACCCAGGTGTCCTGAGTCCCAGGCCAGTGCTCCAGCCATGTGGCCCTAGGCAAAGTGTTTATTTAAACTCCTCCTCCTTGTAACACAGTGTAACCCACACACCTGGCATGGTTCAATGCCCCATGCAGTGGCACTTGGACCACTTGCAGTAAGAGATAAGAACAAGGGAACTCTACAGCTTAAGTTGAGCCCCAGCTGGCTTTATAGCTCAAGCTGTAGAGGCTCCTACACTAAGATCCCAAGGTCCTGAGTTCAAATCTGCCTGGGGGCAGTTACAAACACACACAGAGGGAGATAAACATTGCTTCCATTCAGGGCCGTGAATCAGGTCTCTAAGCTAAGCCTGGGACTTTTCACAGATGCACTGAATCCTCGGGGGGGGGGAAAGGCCATTCACAGGCAGTCCATGGTGTCAGGAAACACACTCAGCCTAGCTTTGCCAAGTTGGAGAACTTGGTTTTATTCTGCATGGGAGTCCCTAAGCTTTCATTCACCATGGTAGGACCTTCCCTTTGGGAGATAGCAACAGGGCTCTCTACTGATAGGGCTGCATAGAAGCTCCCTATGGAGGCAGGGCAGGGTGTGAACTAACGCAGCCCAGGGAGAGAGGGGAAAGGACTTACCGGCCTGCCAGCAGCTCCGATAGACCCAGCCATTCCTTTGTAGCCACGGAGACCCTGTGCAGCAGAGCACAAGTTTAGAACGTTAGATCACTGACAAGTTAGGAACCGTCCTTCCCTAGCACATAGGAGCTGGGTCACTCTGTGAATTCCCTTCCTCAATGATCTCCAATAGGGACGTCCGTTACAGCCCCAAGGGTATTGTTCTCTGGGGGCTCAACACTGAGTGCCAGGCCCCCTGGTATGGGACAGGGTGATTACCCCCATTTTACAGATGGGAAAACTGAGGCATGGGGCTGGGTGAGAGGGACTTGACCCAGGCCACCCAGCACATCAGTGGCAGAGCTGGGAATAGACCCCTCCCCCCGACAGTCCTGAACCCAAGTCCTCTCTTCTGACCGCTAGATCAGAGACCCCTAACACTGAGTGCCAGGCCCCCTGGTATGGGACAGGGTGATTACCCCCATTTTACAGATGGGAAAACTGAGGCATGGGGCTGGGTGAGAGGGACTTGACCCAGGCCACCCAGCACATCAGTGGCAGAGCTGGGAATAGACCCCTCCCCCCGACAGTCCTGAACCCAAGTCCTCTCTTCTGACCGCTAGATCAGAGACCCCTCCCAGAGCTAGCAGAGCCTGACTCCCAGACCTTGTCACCCTGATCTAACCACTAGACCCCATTCCACCCCTAAGGAGCCATTCCTTATCACCGCAAGGGGGGCTGCCTACGGTAGAGCAAAGCACAGGGCTGTTTAGCGCCTCCCTGGCATGCTTACCGTCTCGCCCTTTGGTCCCGCCATGCCAGGGTAACCCCTCAGGCCCTGAGGACCCTGTCAGAGTAAGAAAAGAAGCCAGGCTGGTCAGATCTTGCATTTACAACAGGGTGTCTCTCTGCACCATATCCCCACCCCGGAATAAAGTGATTCCTTTTAGAAGCATTACCGGCAAATACTATCTTTTGTGCTAAATATGAAACATTGGCTGAGCTTTCTACTCCCCACAAAGGCTGCCAATTTCCACCCAGGCTCCTTCCTGGCTGGCTGTTTATTATTATTAATGGCCTGTTCATTACTTTTCCTCTTTGGAATGCTAGTGAACCATTCATTCATTAATCCTCCCAACCTTGCGGAGAGTAGGTCGTGTTAGCCCCATTGCTCAGCTAGGGGAAACTGAGGCACTTTGCAACTTCCTCAAGGAAGGAATCAGTGCCAGGATTCCTTGGAAGGAATCAATACCAGGATCGGAGGCACGGCCCAGGAATTCCCAGCTCTCAGGTCTGTGCTGAGACTCATCTCTATGGTGAATCACTGCTTCCAATCAATTTCACGGGAGATTAAAAGAATCCCATACAGTGTTAGCTGGAAAATTGAGCTCATGTTTTCTTCCATTTGCCGGTCATAAAATACAAGTTGTTAACACCCTCCCAAGCCCATTTCCTTCCCTGGTTATAAAACACATGTACACCAGGATGTACATTTCTGTCTTCTCTGCACAGGTAGTGAAAGGAATTTGATGCTTAAAACCCCCACAAGATTTAGGAAAGGAATGGTCCTATACAGGATTTGGAAATTCTGTTTTGTAAAGAGAGTTGCCATGTTGCATCCTTTATAGAGCAAAGCTTCAGAGGTAACTGGCTACAGGCGTACGTATTGCACTGCATCCGTTGTTGGCCCTATGCACCACTGCCCTCTACTGCATGGGATTAGAACATCTCAGCTATGTGTCAGAGAACCTATGCTGCAGACAGAGATTCTCCTTTTATCAAAATGGCCGGACCCTGTTCATTTGAGCAGGAGAATATGCTGTGGTGGTGCTGTGCGGCACAGCAACCAAAGTGACTGCCATGAATTTGTTACATCGTCAGCAGGCTCTGAGCCACGTTTCACGTCCATCTGCCTCTCTGGTTAGAGGAGGAAGGCAGAGTTTTCTCAGTTTCTGATGAATCACTGCATGGAACTCATGCCTCACAAAAGAATGCATTTACCCTCTCAAGTCCTCTTCTCTCTCCAGCTCGTTTGAGGCAGTATCCGGACAGGAAGCCCGGAGTAAAAATAACACAGCAGCATTCTGCACTCATAGACCACAGCATTTGCATCATGCAAGACACGAGGCCAGATTCTGACCTCTGTGCCACTGGTACAAATCCGAACCACCTCCATTAACTTAAATGGATTTACAGCAGCTTATCTGGGCCCACCCGTATTTCAGAGGAGTACAGATCACTGCATTTTTAATAAAGGGAAAACACCCTAAATGGCCCTTCAGGGGGTGAAGAATTGGCTACAAAGCCTGTCACTGGCTCGGATTTGGCCTGGCAGCATGCAAAAGGCATGACTATTCAGGGGCTTGGATAAAGCGAGCTGGGTAAGGAAATAATAAGAAAGGAACCTGGCTCCTTGTTGGCCAGCGAAGCATGGATAACGCATAGATCCTGCATAGCACCATTGATCCATAGATCTCAATGCATTTTACACAGCCCATTCCATATCATTTATCTCTCCGGGATTTGGCCTGGCAGCATGCAAAAGGCATGACTATTCAGGGGCTTGGATAAAGCGAGCTGGGTAAGGAAATAATAAGAAAGGAACCTGGCTCCTTGTTGGCCAGCGAAGCATGGATAACGCATAGATCCTGCATAGCACCATTGATCCATAGATCTCAATGCATTTTACACAGCCCATTCCATATCATTTATCTCTCCGTTAGAAGCACACAAGTCCCCAGCCACACCCCTTCTATCCAGGCTCCACCCCAAGGAAGCCAAGCCCCGCCCCATGAAAGCTAAGCCCCACCCCCTGCCTGGCACGTAGGCCCCAGCCTCCCCTGCTCCTGCTCACAGGGAAGGAGGCCTCAGGAGTAGCATCAGACTCCACGCCCCAGGACGCCTACCGCAGGCATTCTGGGGGGCGGAGTGTGGGTGGGGCCAAGCTGGCGGTTTGGGAAGGAAAAGCCTCCCCCGGCCTAGCATACTGGCTGCCCCTGGCTCAGGGTCACAATTGCCTGTGAGTGCTGTAGCCCATAATACAACAGAGACGTCCTCCTGACGCCTAGTCCTTGGCCGCCTTCATCACTCCCGTGGCAACATGGGAGACCAAGGACTGCATCGGCCTCAGAGCTGGCTGCTCCTTTCTCTCCTTAGGGTGGAGTTGGAGGCGTTTCGGAGACACTATGTGGAGCCATAGTGCACAACGTGCTAGCCACAGGTGGCTACTTGGTCAGTGGAGTGTGGCTAATTAGCTTGAACAATGTGGCTATTTGGCCAGTTGAGTGTGGCTAGTTCACTATAGCATTAGCCATTATAGTGGCTACTGCTTCAGAACTGGTTGGACACCCGGATGTAAAGGAATCTCCCCTGCTCTCACTCAGATAGAAAACGTCTGACTCCAGGACTGCTGGAGCTGCCTCGTCCCCTCCTAGCACAGGCCGCCATGGCCGAACGTCAGTCCAGGAGGAGGAAGCTGGATGGGCGAGCTCCCTGTGACTGTGGGCTTTGTTCCAGTCCTCGGTTTGCTCACGCAGCGTTCTTCTGGCTCCTCTCCCGACTCCTTCGATTCTGTCTCACGGTGGGTGCTGTCCAGGGTCCTCTGCTGGTTGCTGTCCCCTCGGGATCCCTGCTCAGACCCCGAGATCCACATCCTCATTTTTTTCCATCCTTTGTCTCCTGTAATCGGTGACGTTCTGGGGTCTGTGGCTCCGCCCTCCCAGGGGGTGGAGCTTTTGTTGGCTCCACCTTGTGTCCCAGGATTTGAATAGGATGCGGAATCCCTGAGCACAGCCCAGAGGGGAAGGGATGGGATAGGGCCAAGAGAGACTGTGGCAGACAAGCTCCCCTAACGGAGGGATGGGTCAGACTGAGGGGAGCAGTGGGGCCATGGGGAGCTATGCTTTGTTGGACTCAGGGGAGGGTCTGGGAGAGAGGGAGGGTTCCCTGCTTCCTGAACACCTAATATGTGCGTGGCAAATCAATGAACCTCCTGGCTGTGAGTCTCACTCAGAAGCACCCGGCAATAAGAATGGTAAATAGAAGTAAATACGTTACTGGAGGCCCGGGGATGCCTTGTTCTCCGGAAATGCCCATGTCGCCCATGGAGCCCTAGGGGGAACAGAGACGTCAGTGCAGGAAAGGCGGCCGCCCCCGAGGTATAAACCACCCAGAGCCTCTCTGTCTCCCACCCACGGGACCCTGGGAGGAGTGGTGCCGAGGGATGGGATTCGACTAGCCAAGGAGGATGGAGAGCCCATCCCGTCTCCATCAGCCTACAATGCCCGGTAAGGGGAGCTCTACTCACCGGCCTGCCCTGTCTTCCTGGTTCCCCGAGGGCACCGGAGCGGCCTCTGTGTCCCTGCAGGAGCAAAGCGAGAGGGATTAAGGCTCCTCCGAGTCCCTCATGCGAAGCGGCTCCCTGGGCGGCACCACAGCGAAGGGTGAACTCGGCATCTGCCCGGTGGGGTACGTGGCACGGATGTGCATGGCGGGGGGGGAGGCGCTTGTACACATTATGCAGGAGCTTGAGTGGGCGTTTTCCTGCCGCTCCCATGCTCAGCCCCCCGACACACATATGGCTGAGAGTGGGCTGCACCCACTGTGTCCTTCCACCTGCCAGGCTGACAGTGGGCAGCGGAGGACGATGGAGGGCAGCCGCACACAGCTGACGCACGGACTCTTTTACTTTGGCAGGGGTGGTGTGTACAGTGGAGGTGCTGAGGACGGAAACCATGTACGTGGGTTGTTACGACTACTTCAAGCCAGGGGGTGCTGCAGCACCCCCTGCACTCCTCTTTCCTGCACCGATGCCAGGAGGGGCTGGGCACAGGCAGCCGGGCTTGGGGATCCTGCCTGAAGCACCGACACCTGACCCTTTGGAAGCAGAGGTGGGGTCTGGCAGGCATGCGGAGGGCAGGTCCCCGAGGCGGTGTCCCCAGTGTAACACGCTGGCTGGGCGTGTCTGTCCCCCTCTGGGGGCTGGATCCTGTGCAGCCGTTTGGACACCCGCAACGGCCAAACGAAGCCATTCAAACCCAACATACAGGGCTGATCATATGGTTTATCGCAGCGGTTTCCAAACGATGGGTCACGACCCAGCACTGGGGGGTGGGAGGTCGGGCACTGGGGCTCGTTGCTGCAGGGGGATCCGGTGAGCAGCGGGGGCATAAGGCAGCTCCCTGCCTGGCCTGGCACCGCAGACTGCGCTGCACCCCAAAAGCGGCCGGCAGCAGGCCTGGCTTCTAGGTGGGGGGAGGAGGGGGAGCGCACAGGGCTCCACACACTGCCCTGAGCACTAGCTCTGCACTTCCATGGGCTGGGAACTTGCTGCTGGCTGCTTCTGGGACATGGTCTGCGGGGCCAGGAAAGGAAGGAAGCTGTCTTAGCCCCCCTTAAGCACCGCTGACACTGCCCCAGCCCTGACCCCTCTCCCCCACAAAGCTGGAGCCCCCTCCTACACCCCAAAACTCTCCTCCTCAGCCCACCCCAGAGCCCACACTCCAGTCACATTCTGTTGGGTTGTGGCATCGATTTTCTTCCACTGGGTCACGAGAGAAAAAAAACAGTTTGAAAACTGCTGCCTTAGATGCTTTGTGTCCAGACAGCGTCTAGTACTGGTCCACGACTAGGGTGCCTCGGTGCTGCAGTCATGCAAAGAGCAGCTCAAGAAGGTGCGACTGATGCTTTGAGGAGCCTGGTTCAATACATGGGCAGGGACGTTGTTATCTTACCTTGATTCCCTGCAGTCCCTGGGGGCCCTTGGGCCCTGGTGGGCAGTTGGTGGGACACTGGTGGGTGGGAGAAAGAAAAGTTGCTTTTCGAACTCAGAAACCACGATTCGCCTGTCGCGAAGCGGCCATTTGGGTGCCCGCAGCTTTGGGGCTTCTGGTGAGCAGCGCCAGCACTAAGCCCCCAAGCTGGGCCAGAGACGGAGCCCGTCCGCTGCTCTGGAGAGAAACCGCCTCCATCCAGGGGTCTGTCCTGCTCTGTGAAACCACAAGCAGAACGCAGCCCAAACGTGACCCAGGAGGCGGGGGCGGTCTCGTGCGAACCACGGAGCCATGGCACCTCTCCCACCTCCCATCACACACGCTTCGATCGACGAGCCGCCTCGCATCAAAGTCAACAAGTCCTGCCAGGACATCGCTGGCCATTGGGCTGGGACCCTTGGAGCGAGCTAGCCACAGGTCACCGGCAGGGCTGGGGGG